TGATCAACTATCGTTATTCTTTGGATAACTGAGAAGTTACCTGTATACGTGTAATACCAGTAGCAATTTGTATAAAAATGACTATACATGTAGCCATTTATAGATTTAATTAAAACACCCATGATAATTTTTTCTGGCCTTTCTATCACCTTTCAATACTCACATATCCCATAATAGTTACTAAATCCATGCCAGAATGACTCATTTTTTACAAAAATATTGTTACTAGGATACGAATGAATGATTTTGGGGCAGGATTATTTAATGTATGAGATTTCTTGCCTAAAATGAGATTTATTTCATGAATAAACGATGACGGGAAGCTTAGTGGAAAGTGCACATGTGTTACATGTGACGTGATCTACTATTTGTATTTCCATCGATTCAAATATTGAGGACTTAAAATGACGTTAAATGATTCAGACGCTTTTATTAAAATATTAAATTGCCTTTGGGCATGTCTGGAGTTTTCTGTGTAAACCTTGGGCCATGTATCGCTTGTTACTTCATTTGAGCTTATCTTGAGAAAATCGGAAACGCTGATCACGTGTATGCTACATGCATGTCACATGCTGGAGGCGATACAGCTTGTTTTATCAAACCGTTCCAACGCAGCAGGATCAGATTAGAGGACGAAATATCTTGATGTTACAAGAAAATTCTTGTCATACATTTAATTATTATGTTTTGGGAATTATTTAGTGGTGGATAGCAAGATTTTGTCAAATGTAAAATGGGAGGGAATAAATCCGAACTTGTTCTTTACCATGACTTAATATGCTGGTATGTTATATAGATTAACTAGGGTGTTCAGTGTTGAGCAGTGTCCCCTAGGTGGCCCATTATAAATAAACCATGGCAATTGGTAGGACATCAGTCAGACGGGGCATGAGATCAGTCAGACGGGGCACCAGTTAGACGGAACACCATTTGAGTGGGGCACCATTCGAGTGGGGCACTAGTCAGGCGGGGGGCACCAGTCAGGCGGGGCACCAGTCAGGCGGGGCACCAGTCGAGTGGGGCACCAGTCGAGTGGGGCACCAGTCAGGCGGGGCACCAGTCAGGCGGGGCACCAGTCAAGCGGGGCACCAGTCAGGCGGGGCACCAGTCAGGCGGGGCACCAGTCAGGCGGGGCACCAGTCAGGCGGTGGGCACCAGTCAAGCGATGGGCACCAGTCAGGTGGGGCACCAGTCAGGTGGGGCACTAGTTGGGCTTTGGGCACCTGTCAGGCGGGGCACCAGTCAGGTCGAGTTTTAGTCGGTTCAATTTCTGAAAATTGACAGAAATTCTAAAACCAATAATCTTCATAGAGTACATAGATGTTTCTTAATTCTCAAAAAATAAACCGATATTGACAACTGGCAACCATAGATCTTTATATAAATAAATGGTAAGAACAAAGAAAGTCGCTTATAAGAAGAGAAGAATATTTGACCATCCATTTCTATTTTGGTCCGAAGTGTTTAACAATTCTATCCTGAATTTGTTCTCAAACCTAGAGAAAATCTCAGATATATAATTACATTATGGTATACATTGTTGCTTTGCGTAATCCTGTGGTTTTGGCAAACAGGAAAAACATACTTTAAGCGTTTTACGGTCTGTATTTTTATCTTCATTTTAGTAAAGAAATGTCCTTTTGGAATTTTCCCCTCTTCACCAGACAGTGAGAGGGATAAAAAGATTAAACCTTGTTGTTTCCAACTCTGTTATAAAAAATGGAAAGCTGTATTTCTTTGATGCAATAAAGCATTCAAATTGGGGGCTGTACATGAAAAGGTGGCAGATATGTTATTGAAAATAACTGAACCAGAAAACAGGATAACTACAAACATGGAATTTAAACAATCAATTTACCAGTGTGTATGTATCAATGCATGCACGCTGGTCTTAGTACGTGCTGGTAACGTGGCATTAGAATAAAAATACCACACAATAAATTTATACTATAATATTTTATAGTTCTTTACAAGAACCATTGTAAAGCAAAATTTAATGGAGTGAACCTAAAATTAAAATTTCGTCATTTATAATACAGAATACTAATATTTTCTGAAAATAAAAATCTTTGTCTTCTTGTTATGCAGCAAGTGCTTCAGGATGGTAAAGACAGAAATTTGTAAACATACATGGCAACAGCTACTATTTCAAAATTAACATTACCTATAACAATAACTACTTGTTCTTCTTCCTATTTTGTTTGAAAAAATTTGCTGATTTAGTAAGATTTCAAATTTTTTACTCGCCAAAATTCAGAATTTGATGAAAAGTTGTACCGTACAAGACAAAAACGTCTGTTTTTATCGTCATCGTCCTCGTTGTAAAAAATAAAATGCGTTGAATGAATTGATATAGTTTATATTTCATTAATAAAATAATTTTAGGGTAATCTTCAGTTTCGAATTGATCTTCTATATAATTTATTGGGTTAAAAACATCTGTTTTATTTGATCGGTTTCCTAGGCACCTTGATATGTTATTGTCATTACTTCTGTATTTCAATTCACCGTACTCATTATGTATGCAGCTGACAGATGTTTATTGTCGTTCATGTTCCCCAAGATGTTTCTTTTTTGTTAAGGGAACTGATCATTACCACCAAGCCGGTTTCCTGTGAGTCTTCTGCGGCATGCGTTTCTTTACCGTACCGGCCGCTGCTTTACCGTACCGGCCGCTGCTTTACCGTACCGGCCGCTGCTTTACCGTATCGGTCGGTTCTTTACCGTACCCGAAGGTCATTAGCCGTACCGGCAAGGCCGTTACCGTACTGGCAGGAGGCAATTCACACTTCTGACAAGTTAATTTATGCATTGATTTTCCGGTTTACCGGTAAAATGCCGACCTGTTTAAATTTCAGTTTTATGCACAGGATCGCCAGAGAAAGCAGAACTGTAGCTTGAGTAGAATTTGTTTAGTTTGTAGTTATAGTCTGTTTATAAATCATTTTGTTCATGTTGCTATGCGGTAGCTT